TACCACCACTACCGCTACCACTACGACGACGACGACAACTACTACTATTGCCACTGCTACTACTACTACTACTACTACTACTAATGCGACTACTGTACTACAGCATAGCAGGAAGCCTCAAGCACGGCCAAGCAACGTAGCCCTTGGGCACGCTCCAAGGCATTCCTCTCGGACGAGGGATGCTGGTTCGGAGGAGTCCGAGGCATGCGGGAAATCTGCTTGCGGACGACGTACCCCCAGGGACTAAAAACTGCTGCCTCACCTTACTGTTTGCACGCACCTCACAAGCCAAGGCCGTCTCAAAACACTTCGCAACCTCAGTTTGAGCTCATGCATCCTTGAGGGGAAACGCTCATCTTGAATCTCTGCTCGATGCGGAGTTACTGCGTGCCCTGTCCTTTCTCCTTAGCTGCAAGCTGCAGATCTCTCGCTGTGAGGTCGAGGGCGAGGCAGTATCCTGGATCAGGCAAGCCGGATGAGTGCTAGAAGCGATGCCAGATGCGAAACCATAAGCCCTCGAAGCATGCTATTAGGCGAATACCCTTCTGGACCTCAACCGCCCATGCCAAGGGCTCCTGCAACGACGCCCAGTGCTTCCGACTCCTTGACGCGCCTGGGGGACAAAGCTCTCCACCAAGTTTGGTGTCGGCGTCGGCTAACTGAACTGGAGAGAACAAAAAAAGTTGCACCGCATAAGTGTATTTCCAGATCCGCCGTAGTAGACCTCTTGAACATTGAGCAAAGCGACTTGCATTTCTGGCCGATCACGATGCCCAGCTCCACCTTCACTGACTGTACATTCCAAGCATTTGGGATATAGTTCAGGGGCATGCAAATCCAATGTAGGTGCAGGATTTGTAGGCTTTATGTTCTTGAACATAGAAAAAGATACATGCATGTACTTCTATCAACCGCGATGTACAGCCACGACATAGTAGAGATAAGCAAGTGTCTGCGTGGGCATGTAAGTATATATGCACGAACAAACGTATCACAGCTAGTGGTCACAGAGGACTTTAAAAAAAGAACGATCTGCTGGGGAAGTCGGGAGACCGTGTCATACTCCTGGAGGACCTTGCTGAATGCGGCACCTCCCCCCACAAGTAGGAAACAACCCCAAGCCTCCGAATCTGACAAATTCTTCCAGCGCATAGATGCTTCTGAAGGTCTGGCCTCATGGTGGACTGGCCCAATGTTTCTCGGTAGCCGTATGGGTCCACTGCCTTTGCTGGCTGTGGAGCGTCGCGCGTGATTAGTAGGCAGCGATGTCAGATACTCGGATCGAACCTTTCATGGTTTTGGAGCTTACCTAATGTGTGCTTAATGTAGGTTTCAGCCATGCGAAGTCGCTCAAGAAGCCAACCCCTCAAAGTTTCTGGGTGAACCAGTTCGTGCGGACGAGCAGCCCATGGGCAGATAGGAGCTTGTGGGCTTCAGGAAAAGCACCGGGACTTGGGGTGCCTGGCTGCAGTCTTCCGTAAGGCTTTTGGTTCGGCCATAAACGAACATCCCAAGAGAACGTTTACACCAAAGACCTGCAACAATGTCGCCGAACCCTCTCTATCCGGGCACCCACTTGCCTCGGACAAAAACTTCTCATCCTTCTTGCTGCCTGGCTGATTCGTGCACTCAGGCAGGATGTGCTGGAACAAGGCCAAGATTCGAAAGGACGATGAACACGGACTTCCCGAGAACACGCGCCCGGTATCCAAGCCCTCTCCCGGCCTATTTGAGCCATCTCTTCGATGTGCTTCTGGTAGTTTTTCCCCACGGCCACGATCTTCCTGGTGAGTCCGGAGTGTGAGGTGCCACTCCTCTTGGAGCCGACTTCATGAGTTCGGAACCCAAGATTTTGGAAGTGAATTCTTCCCAAGCGCTTCCTGATCAGTGCTGTCCCAAGAAGATCTACAAGGGAAGGGGAGGGGATTTGACTTACACCAGAGGCCTGCCAGTCGCCCAGAAGTTGGTGGCCATGGCGACAAAGACGAGGAGACAACCGAGGACTCAATCAGAATCTCGCTCGGATATCTTATGGCTTTGGCAACTATCCCGGGCTGACTGAGACTACCGGTTCCGGGTCTGGCTTGGGCAGCCCTCGATCAAGGATGGAATTAAAAATACACGGTTAGGACGGTGGGGAAACCTGTTGAGAAGCTTTGCTCTGAGGGGGTCCGAGGTTCACATCTGTCGTTGAAAGATTGCGTTCTGCGCGTGGGTAGTGCCGAGTCTGAGGGTGTGTGCCTTTCAAGTCCCCTCAGCAACATAGGGTTGATCTGAGAAGCGAGGCGCGTTGAAACAGGCGTTCAACAGCCGCCCGTGAGCATGCCATCCGTGATGACACATCATTGCCATGTTGCTGCACATGCATTCCGCGACCTGTTGGGTCTAACGAAAAGTCTTCAAGCTGCGAGCGCCCCAATGTCGAACACAGCTTCCTCCACTGCGAGCCTGGAAGTTCTTCTTCGTCTGTTCTCGAAGCTGCAGCCTTGCGGCTTTTAGCTACGATGTAGCAATGTAGCACGGCTCGAGGCAGAAAAGCTTCAGCATCCTTGCTGATGAACATCGCCACCACGCTAAGAGTGTGATTCTGATACACTGCGGCACAGGGTCTTAGACGGATAAGGGCAAAACCAGCCATTTGCTCCAAGTCTCCGAGTTGATCCCTTCCTGAATTGCTCAGGGTCCGGCAACATCCACTCCCGGTCGTTGTCGTCGATCAGCCGGTCACCAAACACACGCAGAATCTCCTAAGCTGCTACACTCGCATCAAAAGCCCGCACCACTGATGACCGGCGAAAGAATCGGCCAGGTTATGAGGCGAGAGCATGTGAACCTGTCTAGAGCTGCAAAGTTCACGAAATCACGACGAGGGCGTGTTCTGGAAAATGTTGGGATCACGGTCTGAATCACAACGGAGTCAGACTAGTGCTTACGAGAGGCGTGAGCCCAAAGACGAACATGGCGATCTGGACCTATGCAGCAGAGCAGGGTACGACTCTTGGCTGAAAGGGCAGCGCTAAGTTGATACACTCCCTCCAGAGAGGTTGCGATGGATGCACGTTGACGATGGCCGTGTTCACCCGGCAGGTTGATTCTTCAAAAAGGTCTGGACAAAGCTGACGTGGCGTGGGGCATGTGCGCTGGGAGCTTGAGCTGTTCATTTTAGGGACGTTGGAATCAAGACCCTGAATTTCAGATGCCCAATCCACAGACCAAGCCTCAACGCTCCCAAAAGCCGGAACCTCGAGCCCTTAAAGCCCAACCCCAAACAGGCGTATGCCTTCGCACTCGTTCTTCTTCAGGAGAAGGACCTGCGTCCCGCATGCCCTCACATTTTTTTCCGATGTAATGCCATTACCAAGCCATTCGCAAACCACCGGGCCCAGTTCTGTCATGGCAGTGCAAGGCTCCGACGCCAGAAATGACCTTTGAGAAGTCGCGCAAGTTGAAGGTGTAGTGCACCTGGTCGGGCTGCTGGTTGGGCTTTGAAACATCTCGCAGAGTTACTCTGGGACCGATTTCTGTGTTCTGTACATCCTGCTCGCAATGCTCCTTCCTGGCCTTCATCGGGGTTGGGCGGAGCTCGTTGGACCTGACACAGCATCCAGCCCATGAGGAGCACTTGTCGGAGTCCGTCTCAAGGGGATAACAGAATGGTGCAGGATCAATGCATGGGATCTAGTGGATCCCAGTTAGTAGCTGCAGAGTGAACATCGGCCGAACGGCTTTCGGCTGAGGGCCGGGCGTGTTCTTGTAGATCTCCAGGGTGGCTTGGACCATCTTCTTGCTGAGCCCGGCCACATCAGCGGGGTAGTTGTCCGTCTGAGCACAACTCAGACGATTGGACGTGCACACTGCGCTTTTCGGAGGGAAGCTTGACTCCAGGGATCATCGCATTCTATAGCCCCGACGAGAACAGCCATTCGTGTCAGGGTTGACCTGCGGAAGCCTTTCCTTAAGACGCTTCGCGGCAGAGCTCCAAACTTGCAGAGGCAGTCCAAGGACTTCTGACATGCCAGCAAAAGTAGCTCCAAACATCTTCGGACCTCTACAGCCCCTGCACCGTCTCTTGCCGATACATGGCACATGCCACCCGGCCCGGAACTTCCACTCCAGAATGGTGTTGAAGATCTGCCTTGATCCAGGACTCTGACCTACTTGGTACTGGCTGGCAGGCAAACATTACTCTGACGCAGAAGGGGGTTGAGTAAGATTCTGTCCGACTTCATTCGCGATTGAATGTGAATATTTAATTTGGCATTACTGTCTCACAAGTTAAGAATCTGTATCCAATATCCTTGAAGCCCTTGGTCCTTCAGTATAAGTCTGAAGGTTTGTTGACCGTTGCCAAGCAGTGCCAAGAACTTGCCTTAGTAAGTTTTGCAAGCCTGCAATCGTGTTGCTGCGACTGTTATGTCACTGCTTGTTTCCTTCCGATTGCCGATATTAATAATTAATCATAGGCTCGAATTGAGATTGTCCTTTGTTGCCGTGAGCTGATCTGAAACCGCGATGCAGTTGTAGAGCCTCCTTTCACCACAAAGGACTGTTGAGACGGCGCATCAAGCTTCCACCCATGACCCCTGCCGGGGAGGGCCCGCCTAACTACATGGGAGTTCTGGGCGGGCCCTCATGGTATAACCAGGCCCCAAACTTGAGATGCGGACCCTGTAAAGAGCTTTGTGATCGTAATCGTCAACCCCAGCATGCAAAGGTAATAGTTCGTGTGCGCATCTTGCAGGCAAAGTTGCATCATGTTGTCATCGTCCAGCAGTGGAAAGCCAACAAGGTACATGTGCCCGATGATCTGGGCCAGACGGCGGGATGAAGGAGGAGGCGATCCGAAGCAGGGGAGAAACAGGAAAGGTCATGCACGCGGGATGCACAAGACCAGACTTGATTCCGGGCATCCCGTCAAGTGCCACTCGGCAGTCTGACTCACAGGGGAGAATGTCCATGCGAGAGTGCAAATCTGGGACCAATGCCCGAGGTGTGATAAAGTTGCGGCCACCACCTGCAACACAAACCAAAAGCAACAGGCGACTGTAGTGTGTGTCTGCACATGATCAAGAAAACCGTGGCGGTTGCGATACTTCTGTCAGCTTCTTTCCGGTTATCCGGTCTAGGTAAAGAGAACGGATGGTTCGTTGAAGCAGCCTGAAGTTATGACGATACGGCATGAAGGCTCAGTTGCGATGGCCCAGCCTGGGGGCCCCATGGCGGCGAAGTACAAGACCTCAACTTCCACGCTGCTCTGGGACTGTGGGGGCTTCAAGCTCGAAGCCAAAAATGCAATTAAAGAAAAAAAAGGAACTCACAAGCTGCAAGCTGTTTGGCTTGACGAGAATACTCTGCAGCTGGGTCGCATCAATGATGCTCCGGAAAGGGTGTGTGGCATCCTAGCAAGACGAAATCGCATCGAAAACGAACCACGAAGGTCAGTGTTACAGTGTTTTGTGCTACGGATTGTGGTGGTAATCTACAGAAGCAGAGAGCGAAAACCAGAAAGAACAGAACCAGCAACTTGCGATAAACTGGACTGCTCATAGGCTCCGTCGCTGGAAAGCCTTCAAATTCTTCAAAAGTCGTCTTCTCATTCTCGTTCTCATTCTTTGCAGGGCATTCTTTTGCAGGGATGGAGCATACCTGGGGGCGTTGCAGACCTGCCGGCCAGCAGCTCTGGGAAGCTCCGGCTTACATCCTACACATCCTAACTTCCCAACATTCAACCAGACGGCGATTATCCCGAAAGCAAGCGCAGCAATGTTTGCGTGGCATGTGTAATTGGCAGCGTGTTTGTATAACTAGTTGTATCAGCTAGCTTTTCATAGCCCGGGTTAGGTTTAGCGTGTGTGTATATACATACATACATATATATATATATATGTATACACACACATATAAATATAAATAAATATATATATATATATGGAATGTATGGCGGTGTGCGTGGTGCGGCATAGGTGGTGTTCTTGAAGGATCCTCCGGCTTGCAATCTATGCTCTGGACAGAGCCTGCAGGCCCACAGTAGGCCACATGTAGGACAAACTGGTAATTTACCCAACCGAAACGATAAACAAACGAAGCAGTCCGGCGTGTGTGCGTGTGTGTGTGGGCGTGTGTGGTGTCGTATACGTGCTGCGGAGCAAGTCGGTGCATCCACGTGACGGGTGCACCGCACACGTTGACAATGTGCACCGCAGCACAGCGCCATCGCTTCGACGCGCACGATCCATGCAGAGAGTTCATCGGCGACTGTGACCGACACGCAAAATCCCCGCAGAGGGTTCATCGGCGAGCGAAGACGCACGTTGAGAATTTGCACGGATCCAGAGCGCGAGCACCTCCGACTCCGACACGCACGATCCCCGCAGAGGGTTCATCGGCGAGAAAAATGCGCACGGAACCACTGCGCCATCGATGCGACGCGCACGATCCGTGCAGGCCCTGCAGAGGGTTCGGCGACGATCCTTGTAAACTCTTCATCGGCAGCGTTGAAGGACACGCAGAATCCACGCAATGGGTTCATTGGCGAGCCAATTATGTAATGCATGTGCACCGCGCCACAGCGGCGTAGTTTCGACACGCACGATCCCCGCAGAGGGTTCATCGCGACACGCAGGATCCTTGCAGAGGGTTCATCGGCGACGCCGAACATGTGCACCGCGTCACAGCGCCAACGCCCCGACACACAGGACCCCTGAAGAAGGTTCATCGGCCGCGTTGAATATTTGCACCGCACCACAGCGCCAGCGCCGCGACACGCAGGATCCCTGCCGGGTCATCGCGCTAAGGTGCGCCAGACCTACCCCGGGCGAATGAACTAGATTATAATCAATAAAAAAGCAGGAATTTAACTAGGCTGCCGTTAAAATACTAGGAATTTAAATTAGGCTGCTATTCAAATATTAGGAATGTAATTATAGGCTGCTATTAAAATAATCAGACTTTAATCAGGCTGCTATTCAAATATATTCGGAGTCGTACTGTAAGTAGTGCAAGCAGGCAAATGCATGAAGCACGCAAGTGCGTGGTGTAAGTATATGTGTGCAGTGTAAGCAGGCAAGGATTTTTGCCAAAGAACCCTTCGCAGAGCTTTCCGGAAAAACGTCCCACAAGTTCCCAAACCCCCAAAACAAGCATTCATGATGAACAAACGCCTGGCTTTACAATGGCTCTCGCTTCTCCTTTCGATCGTACCATCCGCCAGTGGGACCGTAGGCTGTGGCATCCTGGGCATGCGCAGCAGACTCAGCCGAAGTCTGACGAGAATAGGGGGATGTCCGCATGCATGCAAACATGTGAAGTATGTACGCGTGAACACAAGCCCGATTTTGCTGATCATGGAGTCGCCGCGAAGCAGACTGCACTTCTGGTGCATCACTCCTCTAGACTCTGAGCTGCGCAAGTCTGCACCTCAGCTATAGAAGTGTGCAGCCGCTGAACTTTAAACAGGCTCGATGAACAAGTCGTGCCAAGTGCAGACTTGGTCTCGCGGTAACTAAACTGCAAGAAGACTGTCTTCCTCGACGTCAGCTTCGCGGCACGAGCGTCCGCTGCAGCGATTCATTGCAAAAAGCACCCGTCGAAGACGGCGCAGGAGTGACGGGCGCTCGGCTTCCACCTGCGGGTACAGGTTGTTCATCTGCCATGGATCCGCTTTCAGATCGTAGAACTCAGTGAAGACCGGGTTCAGTTCATGGAATATGCGAGGCAGGTCACCTGAAGGTGTCCTGTCAGCATAGAAGTTTGCGAGAAGGAAGTCCCCGTCTTCAGCGATGTATCTAGCGGCCAAGTAGGTGTTGTTCTCACCATCCACACGGTGGTAGTGGCAGGTGCACCAACTCTTCTTGCAGTCTGCGCCCTCGCTGGGGTTACACTGTGGACTTTGTGGAAAGCCACGATTAACATTTCCCAAACTCCAGTACTCAACAGGGTACATCTTGCGCCATTTTGCCGGCGAGCGGTTGCCCAAAAGAGGCACCAGTGAGCGTCCGTCCAGCTCCATAATGTCGGGATCCCCCCCAGCAAGCTCCACCAAGGTAGGAGCAATGTCAACGATGCCAGAGACAGCATCTACGCGGGCACCAGGCTGAATTCCGGGACCTCGCAGGAGCATAGGCACACGAATGTCGTTGTCATAGACATTGAACTTCCCACTCGGCCTTGCCTGCTGACCTAGCGCATATCCATGGTCTGACGTGAGAAGGACAACTGTGTTGTCAAGAACCCCCTTGCTGTCAAGAACATGGAACACCTCAGCCACCAGGTCGTCCACGCTCAGCATGGACTCCACGCGAGAGCGATACAAGGAATCGCTCCAATTCACCGTCAGGTCGTCCATTTTCGGTTGGCTGGAAATCAAGGGATGCGCACCTGCATTTGGAACGTTCCAGTTAGGAGTTCTGGGTGCCTTTGCATGGCCAGCAGCACCGGCATGCCACGGAGCAGCCTGTGTGATGTACGGAAACTGGGCATCTGCGATGTGAGGCGCGCGAGGTGCGACGTACGCAAAGAACGGACGCCCAGCTCCGGCAACCTCGTGCAGCCATTCAATGGTCCTGTTGCCAATGACGGAAGTCATGTAGTCCTGTGGTGCATCTCCCGTGGACACCTCCTGACCATCATCGTTATAACTGTTACTGAAGTACTTCCCCATCTTGCAAAGTGCGAACCATCTGTCCCACCCGGGTGGGACGGCCTGGTCACCCTTGGGCAGTTGCCTGCAGCCTGCCTCCACCGGGCACGAGCATGCAGGAGAGTTCATGTACTTTCCAAACAAGCCATTCGTGTACCCGAGCTTGGACAGGTAGCTCCCGAGCTGGTTTTGGACGAAGTACGACCCAGTGACGTTTGCCCACATGCACCCTTTAGAACCCCCGGAAGATCGAAGATCTCCGACTAAGTTATTGTGCCCATAACGGCCTCCCATCAACTCTGCTCGCGAGGGACAGCAAACAGGTGTGTTGACGAAGAAGTTTGTGAAGTTTGTCCCACCTTTACCCAGAAGGCGCTGGATGTTAGGGTATGGGTCCATGCCCCCTAGGACCTGATCTTGGTCATCAAGCAGTATCAGTACCAAGTTCGGCTTGGACCTTCGGCCATCTCCCATGGCCAGTACAGCCTGTGCAAGAAGGCAAAGCGCCAACCGAGGCATGGCTGGAAAACGGAAGGATTGCCGCTTGCCCATCACGGCGAGATGGTTAGGATCGCTACAGTAAGCTTTAGCCGTTGGCGCGATGAACCCAATAAGTCAATATTCACCCAAGCCCTGCACCTAATGAAGAGCCATCCCCGTTTCTTCTCAGGTTCTCGATAGACTGGATCGAGCCTCTTATCCTGAAAACAGAACCAGGTGTGTAGCACTAACGGAAGCCCGAACTTGCTTGGTCCTGAGGCTCGGGAACTACGCATGGGCCTAGCCTGCAAACGTCCGCATCAGGAGCCGGATCACAGCTGAAGTGCCAAAGTGGCATGCCAGTTTAGACAGTTTAGACAGGCCTGGGGCATTCGAACTTGGGAATTCTCAGCCTTTAGCTGCTTCCAGCCCGCATGGTCGCCGAACAATCCCGAACTCTTCAGCTGGATGGGCGGAGGTTGACAGTCAAGACTCAAGATGCAGCACTGCCATGCACTGTGCCGAAACAAGGTCTACTGAAGCACCCCCGCCCCCACCTTCACAACCATTTCAGAACATAAGACCTAGTCGAGGCATTCGCCATGCTTTGCCGCAGAATCTCGATGGGGGGCATGGCCCCATACTTCTCCTCGCAGGCACGTGAAATGCCACCAGGTAATTGGGTCGCCCTAAACCTTGAGGGCTCACGACGACAATATCCCGAGATTCGATCCATCAGACTCTCAAACTCCCACGTGATTCATCCCATATTTGGCAATTCTGTCCAGCCCCGCCCCCCACGACAAGTACTTTGGCCAGCTCCTTCACAGGCATGTTGAGATCGTCCACCATGACAACGCACATCCGGCCTGGGCACCGCAGCTGCAAAGAGCAGTTGGGTCGCAAACAAGTACCCCTGCAGGCAACGACAGCTGTGCCCAAAAGTGCGCCCACAGCAACGAATGCCAGCGACAAGGCGGCCGAAGCCTCGTATGCCTCTGAGTCCTTCTTGGCTTTACCAGTTTTGGCCGACGGATCATACGCTATGCGTTTCCCGAATGCCTCATACCTCATGTATTGCCGCCGAAATGGCCACCTCCCTCGAGGCCACAAGAGGTGATTGATAGTGCACCACTAGAAGGTCATGAGGCTCAACCCGGATGCTGTGCTCAGCACGAGCCCTCCACGCGAAAAAGGTTGAATAAGGCAGAATGCCAAGGCCGCGGCCCATGGGTGGACCATAGATCCCTTTCCGTCGCCGCTCCAGCTTGGCGTCAACCAGATCCTTCACATGGGCTGGGCTTCAAACAAATGCCCTATACGGAGCTGAGCATGCACATCATCTCTTGAATCTTCACAGTTTTGTTGAGTTTGCCGTCAGGAGTTGTGCTCCAAGACATTCATCAAACTCCCAGTCTGACTACGACTCAACCCTGTGGCCCTTCCCGAAAGCGGCGAAATCTAAGGTGGCGGACCTCGCAAAAACTCCAAACCGCAATAATCCCAAACGTAATTCATAGCTACCCTCCTTGCCCGGCTTCTCTCTCCTGCGTCTGCGAGCATTTCGTCTGAGCGGAGAATCCGATCTGGATTGACATGTGCCTTGTAATTGCATCAGAAGGCGGAGACTACGAGATTTTGCGAAGTTCCAGGGCTTCGGTGCCGCCAGGCTGATAATTTTTTGAGGCTTGTCTAGGCAGACATACCAGCACCCTTTTCTTACTTTGCCTTTTCTTACTTTGGAGTTTAGAGACAAGGTATCTTTCTTCTGCACGTGACCCACCACACAGAAAGAGTGGAAATACAGGCAGCTCCTCTCTTCCGAATGGAACCTATCGCCATTAGCATAATCAACTTGTTGCATGGACTGCTCCTGTCGATCCAGGCTTTCCAGACCCGGCCTGTAACAACCCCAACCCAACCCTTGAATCGCTACAGTACAGGTAGGAGAAGCTGCAAAAAGGTTCATGCATGTTCATGCATTCTATGGAAGATGCCAAACAAGGCGAGGTGCGTCTCTTTTGGCATCGCCATCAGTGCCTGAGCCAAGAGCGCGAATGCTTAGCAAGCAATCGAACTCTAAACGATCACGATAGTTGATGCAGCCACCGGGCCCAACTAGAGCGATTCTGATTGAATAACCGTGAAAGTACGGCATCAATGCTGGAGTCCTAGAGACTGCAATTGACTTGTGCAGTGTGTCTCCCCCTTGGTTCGTGGTGCAATGCACTTACTTCGAAATGTGCGCTTCAAGGTTGCTGCCCTCCACCGAAAGCTCTGAAAGGCAATCTGAATTTCGCACCTGCTGCATGTAGACGGTCTTGCCTGAGGGAGAAAAAATGAGACCGAGCGACTCCTCAAGTCTCTATCACTATGCCTAGGCGGCCTAGGCTTTCAAGTGACTCAAAAAGCCTGTTTTACCGACAACACAGGATCCAAGGCTGGAGTACGCTGCCACTGCCGGCCAAAATTGAAATCTACTGCGAAGGTGCACTGATCCTTAACTCTCAATCTTTCGAGATTTATGCTGCTCACTGTGGTTTCTCATGCCTTCGACAGAGACTTGCAGGCCTGACCCCCCAAACCCCCCCCATGTTTCCAAGAGCAGCGGACGGACTCCAATATGAAGCAGGTTGGACAGTTCGGGTGTTTCGTCTGCGTAGGGCTTGTGGCTGCGTGCACGACGGGCACGCAGCCCAAAAGGTTTCACTTTCGCACGTCAGCATACCGATGCTCGTAGTGTAGTAGTGTGGTGAGACATTGCAATGTGCGAGTGTGTGAACCATGGTACCATACCTCAGTGTGGCTGGCATGTTGGTGATTTTGGTGCACATGCTGAAGCCGTCAGACACCCACAGTGATGCGGTTGATGCACATTCCTGTGTGCTCCCGGCAAGCGGTAAATTGCACATGTTCAGCAAAGGGGGCACCAAATTATTTGGCTGCAGCCTGAAGCGAACCTTTACGATCTGTCCTTGCGCGCTCGTTGACAGCCAGGCTTTCGAGAGTACTCGCAGAGTTTTCAGAAACGCAGGGAGATGGGTCGCAATCACGCCAACTCTGCTGTAGCTAAAAGGCTAGCCGAACTGCGCAAATGAGCTAATTGGAGCCCTCAAATGAGTTCGCGACCCGTTCCCGTGGGACCGCAGAACAGCAGCTTGATGCGATGCTTGATACCTGGCCGGCCGGCTCCCAGTACTCACAAACTACCTGAAAAACTCTGCTTTCCTGGCTTTCCTGCGGGCTACGATGCACGTACCACATCGGACTTGCTCAACTTCCGAAGCGACCTTCTTGTGCGGTGGACGCACACTTTCGGTCAGAAGCCCTGGGAAACCTCTGCTGCGTTTTTCTTTGCCGAGCTGCAGTGTTCAAGGATGTAGCGGTACCGCACCTCAGAGCAAAACGAAGCTAAGGTCTGCCAATACAACGGAATTTCAAGCGGTGCAGCTCCTTCGCTTGCAAACCCTCTCGACCGGCCGGAGGCATACTTAGTGGTGAATTGCCGAAAAGCACCAGACTCACTGGCGAAGAATGCGATGGGTGCCAGACGTTGTCCACCGTCTGCACGATGATATTTTGCACCTTCGTAGATACAATGCCGATGCTAGGCAGCTGTGCAAATCTGACCTCCCAAACTGATCTAGGTACGAGCGCTTTTGCAGAGACGTGAGCAGAACCCAAGGTTGCAGTGGTGGCGACCTGACCTGCCTTCCCTCATGTGGCCCGGCCTGGGCCGAATTGGGGATGGTCTGGGCCTCCACCGTGTCCATCCAGGTGGTCCAGCCTCGAATTCGTTGATTCGTCGGCTTCGGTGAAATCACACGCAGATGCTACCAGGTTTCGCATTCTTTCAAGACCCCTCTGAGCACGGGGCCTGGCTGCTTCAGGTCCACAATGTAGTCGAAGACCGAGCCACGATCAGGGAGGTTTGGCTGTAGCCTGAGCTCGGACTTTCGGCTCGGGCCGTACGGTTTAGCGTCTCAGGCTTTTTCTAGGTGCCTTCAGGGCTGAAGGGATGTCTTGGACCACAATCAAACGTGGGCAGGGATAGCAGCAAAGGCCCTGGCTTCTTGTGCGGCTTGTTGTTTTCGACCTTTCCACGGTCACGTCATGCAGGGCGCATGCACAGAACAGCACGGGCTGAGCTTCAAGAGCTCAGCATTCCAGACACGGCCTTCATGATACATCCGAGCCCTCAACTTCGGCCGCTGCATCTTCGATACCACGGATGTATTCATACCGGATTAAAGGGTCTCGGCAACATCGCCGAAAAAACCTTAAGCAGGAGGACGATGAGCAGTTAATACAAAGCACCTGCCGAAGTACCCCGGTGCACGCTAACCACACCTGACAGAAGTCCACGTCCCCCGCCTGCCCTGTCAGCAACTTGCGCAGGAACTGGCTGAAAGAGGACCGGCTGCTGGTCCTGGCTAGGCTCGGAAGCCAGAAGCGACCAAACCGCAGCTTGAGCCCTGAACCGAACCTCAGCTTGCAGGGGGCTGGGGTCTTGCAACAAAATCCTTCGTTAAGGTGATGGGGCTCGGATTGAAGGACTTCCGGGTACATGCTGGCACAGAGTGGACTGGTGAAGCTGACATCTAGCACCCGCGTGCATCAAGCTCCATCGCTGAACTAGAATGACATAGTATCTAGTAGTAGCTAGAAGCTGATACGAGCTCTGTGCAGGATGAAGGATGCCCTGCATGCAATAGCTGCCGGTGCGGCTCGCAAACCGCCCCGAAGGACCAGATAGCGCACCAGATCGCATAACCTGGGTGAGGCACACAATCTAAGCTCCCGTGCAGAACTATTTCTTTCTGAAGATCCAAACTGTGCCAAAACCGAAGCCCTGAAGTCCAGTCTCGCACGTCAACCGAAGAGCAGTAACCCCGAAACCTGCAAAATGTCGACAGAGATCGAGCTAGTGACCAAGTACATGACATTGTTGAAGGAACGGCTGCTGTGAGACGCAGCATCTTGATGCGGGATATAAGCGCTGTTGGAATAACGAAAAAGCGGAAGAACTCCCACACCCGTAAGCTCTTTGCGCAGCATGCGCCCTAAGCTTTGTTGGAATCAGCTCTGAGCTCGGTGCAATCAACCATGGCCACGATGGCTTTACCGTCCACAGCATCGCGGCTCATGTTTGGATCCTGTCCCCAAATCATAGCTTTTTGGTCTAGAATCTAGCACTGTCGGTCATCTGGACTAAGCTTGATCTGCCTTGATCGTTTACAGTCCTCTTCTCAAGAGCCCAACCTGGGAGGGTTCCCAAGCAACGGGAATTCCGCGTCCTTGTAGCCGCTTTCCAAGTGCGTCGTCAGGAGCACTAAGAAGCTTTGCACCAAGTTCTGTTCTTGGACGGGCGATACCTTACAGTCGGCTCGTCGGATCTCTGAGGTTTGCTTCGCAGACAGCAAAGCTTTAACTTTAATCCGAATCCTTGCACCGAGCCTTCACATCTGACTTCAGAGGGTCAAGGCTGTCCCATACTCGCGATCAAGCCGAGTTCGGAACAGTTCTGCACTGCTTCTGCACGTGAGACACCAATGCCGGCACCTTCATGCCGAGAAGGCTTCTGATCATCCCAAGCACGAAGCCCAAAAGGCGTGGTCAAACAAACAGCTGACATTGGACATGGTCAAGTACGAACACGCACGCGCTGTCAGCTACACACCGAGCCAAACACAGAGACATGCGACACTTGCGCGCGCACATAGACACAGAGACGCACAGGTACAATAGCATAAACAGAGAGCGATACGAGTCAGCAGAGAGCACACACCATCCAACAAGAAGAAGAAGCAGAAGAAGAAGAAGCAGAAGAAGAAGAACAAGAACAAGAACAAGAAGAAGAAGAAGAACAATAACAAGAACAAGAACAAGAACAATAATAACAGAACAAGAACAACAGCAACAGCAACAGCAACAGCAGCAATAACAACAACGACAACGACAAAGTTGGCAGGACATGTGAACACAACGTCAGAGCATGCTGGGAGTCCGACAAGGAAGTCAATCATGCTGGACAGCGCTGTGCGCTCTGCTTCTTCCATTTCCTGAAGCTGCAACACATCTGGTTGCGGTGATTCCTGTTCGGTTCCACAACAAGCCGTGCCAGCAGCATGCTTCTATGCACGCGCCCAAGACAGAGCACCTACACGGTCCTACATGCTCGACTTGTGCAGAACTGCCTCAACTACCGCTCGAAGCAACAGTCCGCCTGCGGCAAAGAGCCCTTCAGCGTCTTGTCCTGACTTGCGGTCGCGCGGCAAAGATCTAAATGACAGCGACAGGGAAGGCAGTGGGGTGATCGAAAGATCCCGCTCAACCCACCGACGAAGAAAGCAAACAAAACGAGCCTGACTTGTGCATTGCACACGAACAGCTCTTCCTCCAGTAAACAAGACTGCTCACGACAAGCAAAGCAAAAAGAAAGAGATGCAGCCGTAAAGAAGGGTCAATGCAAAAAGTTGGATCGCGACTTCAAGAGGCTGATCGACTTGCTGTTCCGATGAGTCAGCCTTTATGCGCTTGTTCGCGTTTCATGTGCGCACACACCCAAGCTTTTGCAGATGTATTATACTGTGCAAAGGTCTGGATAGGTTATCAGCTGCGTTAAGATTGCCCGCCCTTGCGTGCTCCTGCGTGCACACCAAGTCTTCAAGGCTTGTCAATAGTGCCAAAAACAAATCGCGTCTGCAGCAATCAGTCAAGAGCAGGGGGTTTAGATCAAGCCTCCTGTGCAAAAACACGGAGTGGCCGGTGCCCGCCGCAGACGTCCTGACCCCTGTGGTCCTCATACGGCCTCAACTTGAGCCATCCACACTCAATCGCAGCGGAGTGTCGATGAGGTGCTGATACCCCATGAGGTGAGGCTCGAAGAAGACCTCGGCATCCAACTGTAGTAACTCACCGAAAGCTGACTAAGAGGAAACACACACGCACGCACAACCATGACGAAACTATCCGCAAGCAGGCACAAACGCAAACAAATCTAGCTGGCAATCTCATGCAAGTCCACAGATTTGCCGCCGCGGCCGGTGGGTCTTCGGACGCTCTCTGGCCCGGCAGTGTCCCGTGCTGAAGTTCGTTGTGCAGCATCGACAAAAGTATGTCTGTACGTCTAAGTTCGACTTTTAGACAGAAGGCTCAGCTCCTGCATGTCACCCCTCTACAGTGGCGCTCAGGAGCTCCGTAGGTAACATGAAACGCAATGCGGCGCACTGCCGAGATCAGCAACTCCTTGCAAAGAGCTGAGACATGATCAAAGCAGCGACTGCAGCAACAGATCGACCGGCATTGCTGGTCTGCAGCGTGCCATTGGCATCGGGGTCGATACAGCCGATTTCAGTGCATGCCAGCATCCCCTGTCCACAGCTGCAGCTGTTGCACCAGTTGGTGCCGGTGTCTTTGCCACTCCAGCCATCAGTCACCACTTCACCGCCTGTAAGCGTGCAATTATCATTCGGGTCGATACAGCCGATGAGGGTGCATGCTAGCGTCCCCTGTCCACAGTTGCAGCTGTTGCACCAGTTGGTGCCGGTGTCGTTGCCGCTCCAGCCATCAGTCACCACTTCACCGCCTGTAAGCGTGCAATTGTCACTCACGGATGTAATGCCAACGCCACTGCAGTCCGAGTTGTTCTTTGCACAGGTTGTGGAGTTCCAGTAGCAGCTGCAACCGCCATCATTCATGGAGGGACACTGCGTTTCATTCCAGTTGCCACAAATAGCCGCCTCTGTGATTAGCATCTGCACAGCAATCGCAACTAAGGCGCTGCATCGAAGCTCCATCTTTGTCGGATGGGGATCACACCCGATCCAATCTTCTACCTACGATGCAGAACAGGAAACTGGAGCCTAAGCCACGAAAGATGACAGGTGAGAAAACGCCACACCACCTCCACCATGAAAGCTACTGTCCATGTGTCGCAGCAACCCACATTACTCCACTGATGGGTATGGAGTGTCGGCCTTTCAGGTAATGTCTGAGCAAGAGCATATGGGCAGGCTTGGAAGCATCATCGGTGCCAGCCGTGCAGGCAGTCTGAGCGAATGGCCATACCGTTGCGCGAGATTGTCGCCGGAGAAGCGACTTCCACATCCTCAGGAGATCGCCAACAGTGAGGCTAGATTTTTGTTCGGTTCTGACACGAGCAGTCATCTAGCCCCCTAGAACGCCTCCCTAAGCAATGTGCAAGCATGCGTAGCAAAGCTAAGCCATCATCATCAAGAGTTTTGCAGTGACCTTTGAGCTTGATGCCATGGGCTCGATGATGGTGCGCATGTTCGGGGACATAGCCTGGCTTGTTTAAGCTCCGAGGGCGAAGCGGCGAGCACGAAACCGAAAACACTCTGACTGCTTGACGGAAGCGCTCACGGGGCCGTTCGATGCTTTCGCTAAGAGGGGATGAAAATCGTCTGCACAAAATGATTTGTGGCATGCCAGTATCTTTTCAAACCGCCCCCGCCCCACTAACAGTGAGCACAACCAGGCGCACAATGAATTGCACGAGGAAATACAGGAATTTCCAGCTAAACTTTGAAGATATGTCTCGACGTCTTGTAAAAATTGTGTGATCCTTTTTGTGATACTTCTGGACCAAAATTTTGTAATCCTTCTTGTGCTACTTCTGGTGCAAAATGTGCGCGACTTCTGGTGCGAAATGTTGTGCTCCCTTTTGTGCGCTTTCTGGTGCCAAATTTGGCGCATCACAATCAGATCTCGGCCAATAAACTTTTGAGGTCGGGCAGTTCCTCTGTCTAGGGTTCTGCCTTGGCCGGCCTTGGCTCTGTTGGGGTGGTGGGGTGGTTCGGGTGGTGGGTGGGGTGCTCGGGGGGGTGGGGTGGGGTGGTGGGGTGGTTGGGCTGGTGGGGTGGTTGGGTGTGGGGTGGTTGCGGTGGTGGGCTGGTTCGGGTGGGAGGGTGGGGAGGTGGGGTGGATGGGGTCTGGACGCAGACTGTCAAGGCAAAAGTTGTACAATGTCTTGGCAAGACCCCGTTCGGCAAGGCCAAATCACTCATTGTTCTGGTGCTATTTATGGGTGGGTTGTTTATACAAGAACCTTTATTTGACTGTTAGTAGGCCAGGGGCGGTTTGAAAGTATCTCTCTGGACTTAGAAAGATATCCAGATACGATGAACTGCGGGCTTACATGTGTCATCAAATCAAACCAAATCCACTGCTACACTATCTCGTGAGCACCGTACACTTTGCAAAGAACGTGCAACATGACCGGAACCGTGGTTTGAAGGTCACTGGCTGCACTGACTTCTGCAGTGTCGCGAATTCCAATAACCCGTATTAAACCTGCCAGACAGTCAATGATCTCGCCACTGTTGAGGCATAGCTTTTTGTTCTCGTCCATAACAGTATTCCTGTGCAATTCCGTGCTGAGGGTCGCTGTGTCACACAACTCAACTGAAATTCTTGCAACACCGTCGAAATGTACCCCAGAACTTCCATTGTGGCATTCCGAAGCCCCTCTACTTTGCAGGGACAAGGCTCATGTTTTCGATCCAGACAGCATCCACTGGGCCATCGAACACCAGCCACTTTCTCTCCTCGCGCCAGGTCTGCAGCACATCAGGAATCTAGGCTCCGTGGACTGATGAGGCACCAATGCTTGCTTCCCTTGGCGGTGTCTGACAGCCCACAAAAATATGCCACCATCAAAGGTTCTGGGATGCTCTCGAACCCAGCAAACAGAAGCCAAAACACAGTTCCGGTACTTAAACTTAAACCGGTACTTAGACAGGTGTGGGGATTGCACTGTTGGGACCCTACATCCTCTCGGTGTCAGTTCTGCAAGGTTGTACCTCAAATCCCACCCTGCTCCAACCCGGGGCTTCAGCAATGCTGACTTTGACCCCTGTGGAAGATCTGTCTGCAGCACTGCACCTCCGTCTGATTTCGGGCGAACTCACGGAAAAGGACTGCCACGATGCCGTCCACCCACTCGCGAGAAACCTGGTGCGACGAAGGAGTTCCCTGTCGTGGCCTAAGCCAAAGACACCCAACACAGCTGTGCTCGAATGCAGCCTCCTCGAAGCAGCCGTAGAGATCCCGCGCTGGAATGGACTTTGGGTTCAGACGAGCCTGGCGGCTTCCACAAGTCCCCAAAACGAGTTGCCTCACAGAGCCCCAAGACAGCCAAGAGCTAGATCAGGCACCAATGATGCACCCCTAGGAAACCAAGCCATTTACAACTCTTCCGGGTCTGGAGCATCAGTATTCAGAACTGTGACTTGCTGGATGTCCAAGCGACCGGGCTTGCAGAAACCAGGGCGAAACAAGACCCTCCTCGTCAAGCATTTCTTCCAAATGCATACTCGTGTGCTTGAGGGTTGAAGTCTGCATGTGCATCCTTTGATGTGGGCACGAGACGCTTCCGGCCTGCAACCTTTGCTGCACAACAGAACGGGCATATCACATCATAGCTCTGCGCACCGGCGCCTGGTGAACGACGCATCCGGCATGCATGAGGCCCTCCTGCGTCTATAAGAAAGCAGAGCATGCTCCCCCCCTGGAGGTTGCAATACATTAGGCTTGCCGCTTCGAACTCTTTCCTATTCATTCTAGCCATAATGCGTCTGGAAGAGCTCTGACAAGCGAGTCATGTGCTGATTGGCTGCATTGCACCAGTATCGGCTCGCGTCTCTGCAGTCTTTGCATGCCGAGAGCGGAGGCGACACCGGGGGTTTGCAAGGGACCCTGAAATGCTTCCTTCATCGACCTGGCCCAGGAGGGCTGTCCTGCGCCAAGTCGGTAAGAGCCTTCTGAAGGGTCTTCAGCGCCGTGGTCTTGCCGCTGAACGGCATCCCGACCAGCATCACGCTGTGCCTGGGCCCAGGTCCAGTCTGGCAAAGGCTTCCAAACTTAGGGCAAACCTTTTGCGGCGTCTGCGGCGGCTCGACACTCCCTGAAACAGTGCCGATATTGGGAAGGGATCTTGCCTCCTTGCTATTGCAGTCCGGGATAGTCCGAGTTATGCTTCAGGTGACCATCCGATCCCGAGTCCTGAAGTAGCGAGCAATCCTCAAGGCCCCAGACCGGACGAGGTGGCACTCGTAGAATTGGATGATCTTGTCAATGAAGTAGGGATGGGCCTCAGCGAGTTCAAGCAGATCTTCGATGGAATCGAGCTTGGGATCCCAAACTGGGCCCGGCACATGGCTTTGGGGGTGAAAGGGAAACGCTTTCAAGGGAATCTTAAGACCCCATGCAAATGACAAGCCCTCAAGCCGTTTCTGCACAGAACTCCTGGGCCCACTGCCTGGCAGTGTGTGCTGTCCAGATTCAGCGTGAGCTTGCCGACCTTGCGCTTGGCGCGCTCTGAGCGTATTCTCGGTTGTCAACCGCTACAAGCACGTGACGAAGGGTGGGAAGCAGCCGCTTGACCTACTCTCTCGAACCAGGGGAGGCAGATTTGACTCCAGAATCTCGCAACATCTCGCAACTGGGGCTCAGGCCATCATGGAGTAGTCAGGCTTGGGGAGATCCCTGGCACGTGAGGTGTGAGAAGGTTGCAGTGGCCTCTTGTGTTTCGTAGGATGTGCGGCGAGGCTTCAGTGCATTGCTACGGAACCCGGCTTTCACCGAAGTTGTGGCGCTGATGAATTTGGCCCACTATCAGCATGCGAAGGCCCTTTTGCGAGAGTATCTGATGGCCTCTTTCCTGCAGCAGGAGCGCTGTAGATACTGTCAACTTCGACAGAACGTAAGCACGGACAGGACTTTGTATCTGCGCTTAGCAATTCACCCTCGATGAAAACCTAAGAGCCTGAGCGACGACTTGATGTACTGCAACTGGGGACCGGACACGCCCGGGAACAAGTCCCTTGTGATACCGTTGTATAGTGGCACCTCTGACCAAGTCAGAAAAAACACTTTTGAGGATCATCCAAGTCTCCTGCCAGCTCTCGCTCCCCAAAATCAAAAGCGACAAGCCGGACCGGCATAGTTCTGGCCAAGGGGCATCGAAGTCTAAGAACTTGGCAAGGTTCACGTCATTCACGGACTGCAGCATGAGCACGCTCCTTGCTCGTAACCGCGACAATATTCTGGAGATGGGATTTGAGGGCTGCGGAATCTAGTGGCACGGCCACACCTTGAGGGTCTTGAGACCGGCTGCTGCCTCTAATTTATCTTCTGCGTAGCCTCTCAACTTGAAGATCCGTGCAGAAAGGGGATGCAGAAAATGGCTGCTACAGCCGGTATCAGTCGCGAAGCCACGAAGCATATGATCAAAATTCACTATGTCTATGTGAACTCTCAACCAGCCTGCCCACGAGTCAGTCTCAAGGCTACAGCATCCTATGAGGGATTCACAGCCGAAGATGCAGCCCTCCTCTTGTGAGAACCCAGGCACAAACTAAAGCTTGATTTTGAAGAGTTTTTACAAACACCTGCCCTCTTCGGCTCTTGCGTTTGCTGGGTGGGGGTACTACCAGCGGACATCGAATAAAGCCCCATAACAACGAAAACGTTGGACGGACAAACGGACGTGACGGACGGACGGACGGGACGGACGGACGGGCGGATGGACGGACGCATGGGACGGGCGGACGGACGGACGGGACATGACGGGACGGGGGACGGACGGACGGACGGAAGGAGGGAGGACGGACGGTCGGGTGACGGACGGTTTTCAAATGTCCGACAAAGGGAGAAGGTTGGAGCCAATACGTCTTTGGATGTCACGAAACGCTTCTATAGATGTCATCTTTCGATGCTATGGAGTCTGTTTTCGATGTTCGGGAGTATTTGTGCGACCCCACGTTGCTGACCTCATCAAGCCTTGCGTCCTTCGCAGCAGCATCAAACCGGGCACTGAACTTGAGGACATGAGTTCGTGATGAAGATTGACACGGGGTAGTTCCGAACAAGTCAGCCAGGACAAGAAGAACCAACTCCTTATCTCCCCTAAAATCTACAATCCCCACTACAATCCCCAGCTTGAAGGCACGTTCCGGGGGCCCAGCTCATTCGTCTCGCCCGGATTGTTCCGCTTCAACCTGTGGGGTCTGAGTCGGTTCGGGATTCAAGCGAGCAGGGTGGCTCAGCCCAACCATGGGACATCCTCCGAAGCATTGCCCTATGTGCACTATCCTGCTCATCTAGACCTGTGAAGCTGCTCTTAGTCCCATGCGAAGTCTCTGAAACCCCCAACTTTGTGCCCTGGGCAATGCAGTCCCACTCGCGCAACCCCCAAGATTCCAAGTTTCGTTCCTCAGATGGTGCATGCCCTTGCCATTTGCACTAGCATCCAGGAACCGGAAGGTCCGACTAACCACTACCGCGCCAGTTACTTTCTGATTGCAGCGACCCACGGCTTTCACGGGGATATCCGGCACATGAGCTGGAACTACGAACTTACAATCGAAGCTTAAAAGCTCGCAAGCCACCAATGTTGCGTGTTGCTCCTCAACCGCCCACTGCGATTACTCGCCGCGCAAGACTTTCAAAGCTTTGCGCAGCTTGCTAGCAAGGACGGCCGTCAAGCCGGCTTCACGGGTGATTTGCGAGACCGCCTCCGTATCCAATTCTATCAAGTCTTCCAAGCTCTGGGCCCCGCTGGACTTTACGATGTCCTTTGCAGCTGAGCCCAATCCTTGATCCTCCAAGAACCGGTACAAAGGAATGAGGCTGCTCTCGACGGAGCCAGAGGGCGAACACTCCATGGCGGAGTGGTCTATGCAGCCATCGCAGAAGCGGTCCGCTGCCTTGCAGAAGCCCATGGCCGCGGCACCTGCGGCACCACCTAAACCAAGACTTCCTGTCGTTCCCAAGCCCGCCATAGAGATGCTCTGCAACCAGGCAAAAAGACTGCCGCCAGACACTGCTGCCATGTGGCTTTGCCACAGAGCTGCCAAGGAACCGCCAGCTATGCCAGCACTAGTAAAGCCCGCCGCAGCCAGAAGAACAGGTGCACTCGCGACGCTCACTCCTGCTCCCGCTATCATGGCAGCAGCACACTTCCAAGGAATGGATACCTCGCAGGCCTGGCAGTGTCCACTCTGATTGGCCTGGTAGCCGGCGTCACAGCAACATCCACAGAGACCATTCGTATCGGCATCGCAGGGGAAGGCGTTGTCACCGCATCCCTGGGTTTTTGCGCCACTGAGTTGACCCTGGAATTTCAGTGCCAGAGCTGCTGGCCAAGAGAACCAGGCACAGAAGCAGCATCATGGCCACGAACGACTCTTTTTCTCTACGGCGTTGCTATGACCGTTCGATTGTTTCATGGTCGCAAGTACCACTGCTCAGAAAGACTCTCCGTTATATGAACTGACCCGCTCTTCCAAGTACCTGGCAACTGATTCCAGCTTTTGAAAGCAGGCTGAGAGGTGGGACCTGTCCAAGCAAAATCGGTCGAGGAGGCTGTGGGCCAAATGGCTCATACCCACCTCCAAGTGAATCCGGCATGGAGAGGAACACTTCACACATCCCCCCAGGACCACTACCGCACGTGGAGTTGCCACAGTGCTGCTTGTCATATAGTAATATACTGTCGAATTGGTTTTGGGGCAGGGCAACCCAAAATCTACACGAGCATCTGGAACTCAATGGCATTGACCGTCCACTTCAACTGCTCCTCAGACCGAGATCTTCAACCCAGCGGCCCTGAACCTTCATCCAAGTTCAGAGTCTCGAAATACTGTACCTCCTTGCACCATACACGTAAACCCCTTAAGCCGCCTTTCCCTGTCGGGGCTTGCCAGGGCTGCGGCCGGCCAGCTTGGACCAACACAGCGAAGACCGCACGCATGCCATAGTCATAGTGCCTTCATCTTGCAAAGTTGGTGCTCTTAAACCGAACTCACTGTTTCAAGGCTCTGCAACTCTCACAGCGAAAAGCGCGAAGACCGAGCCGTAGCGTGACCGCGGGGCACCCTGCCACACTCCAATCCTATAAACTTCGGGGATCGGACCATGATTTCCCCATCCAGCCGCATGCCAGCCCCAGGAGCGGAACGTGCCCGCAGCAAGTGAGAAACGACTGAGGCGAACGAACCAAGTCTAGATCTAAAGAGAATGGACCACGTCTAGATTCTAGATGACAAGCATGCTAGGCCCTCACCGACCAAGAAGATTCTCACGGTGATGACGATGATGATGATGATGAGGATGAGGGGAGGAGGAGGAGGAGGCGGACAGCAGTGATCTTCACCATGTCATAGCCGTGGCGCGAATCGCACTATCTATAATGATGAGACCAATGGTGACAGCAGCAGTCTCGGTAACAACGGCAGCGACAATAACAGAGTAACAGTAACCTATCGTGGACTTTGTCGGCTACACAAACTTACCGCGGTCCTGCAACCTCTCCATTGACAATGACACGGAAGCAAACCAACTTGGCCCGAAACTTCTGTGATGAAAGCTGTTCGGAGCAGAGTTTGTAGGTGGTCACCTTGCACTGGGCTCAAGCACTTCGGCTGATTGTTGCGGCTTTGCAAGGTTCGGAGTCTGGGGTTGCGGCGGATTGGATGAAGTCTTCATGTCACGGGGTTTGGAGTCGAGACTTCGTTCACTTAATGTTTCAACTACCTCGTTTTTCACAGGGATTTAGTGGTTCCGATTTTTCCTCGACGGCCGCATCAAATGGAGTATCATCCGAACACCCCTTGAAGGTTCAGCAGGCTCAACCGCAATGCAGCTTGAAGGCATCTTGCTCGATGCATGTATGTAGCTAGCAGCGGAGCTGGGGCCGTCGCTTGCTTTGTGTGTAGGTTCTGCAGACATGAATTAGGCGGGATTAGAATCACTTTGACGCATTGTCCACGCCAGCAAGCGGCTCCAAGTCTATGGGAGGGCCTCGACACATGCAACTGGCGTAGGCTGAGTCTGTCGCGATTTTCTGCGCCAACGATCTCGAATCCTGTGGCGGAGTACTCTGTCTGAGTCAAAAAGATCTGCGTTCGTGACCGTAATTCCTCGAAGGCGAGGTGCGTGGCAGCTTTGTCATTGGTTCGGGTATTGAAGCTGCGTAATTACATAATAAGGCAACCTTGGCTACATGGTCCGATTACGTCGGGGCGGAGGTCTTCCGACAGCCAACTTGCATCGTACACCAGGGCAGTCTAACATGATGCAGTGCGTGGGGACACGGAAATTTCAAGACAAATACATTTCTTACCTAACAGCAGTGAAACCAATTCGTTTACAGATGGCTGAGGATCCTGCAGTCAGGCTCGTCAGCGTGGCATTCAAGGGGGTTCCCAGGTTCTGCTTTACGTTTTCAAAAATGTGCGGTACAACGAATCGTCAAGGTGTGGTCATGTGCAACACCCCAAAGATACTTGGCCTTCCCCAATCATCTTCGCCTTCTCGCATGCTATGTAAGCATTCGAGGGCAATCCTAGTTATGACCGGGCCTCATAACCGTAGGAATAGAGCTTGATCTCTGCGATCATGGCATAGTCGGGGACCTTAGAAAGTCTCAGCTGCAATCGCTACAACCAGGATCAATCTGCCGCACGACTTTGCTTCTACGGGACCTTCACTCGAACAAGCAGGCATGGACGCCATGTCGAAACCGAAGGGATGGTTCGCAGATTGCCAACACTTGGTGTACAGTTTACGGCTAGCTGTGGCTAGCTTCGGAACTAGCTGGAACCAATCACGAACTATCCAGAACTGGTGGGCAACTGGCAGAAGCAAGCAGCACTTCACAGGCACATCTCCGAATATTCCCGACTCCCTCGAACAAAAAACAAGCAGGGCGACCTATTTGGATTGTCTTTCAACTCGCTGTCGCCCTTCCTCTCTGGATGCGGTATCGCTGTCTCGCTCTCCCATGCACGTCTCTCTCGGTCGCTCTCTCTCTCTCTC